GTAGTAGTAGTAGTACTAATAATAATGAGTATAGGACCTCAGGGTTGCGGGTGTAACGGCAGTGTTTATTCTAGGCTTGAGAGTTAGGGCTCCGGGTTCAAAAGTTGTTGGACCGATTATATACATCAGGGCGACGCAGGTTATGGCAGCAACTGCCATACCCGACACTTCCAGCGCTTCAGACAAGCATCTCAACGCGTTTGCCGCAACTAGAGCCGACAATCTACCCATAGGCTCCATTGTAGTACTTTTTGGTTTATTTTTAGGATCCTAGAAGTAACCCCACAAAGGAATTACCATGCAGCCTTATGGGTAGAGTCTAGACCCGACAACTCCCACTGTTTCAATCTCGGAATCGTTTCAAGGCAAGTCCACATCTGAAATCTTTATCCCAGGCTGCTTGATAGCGAGTACAGCTCCCGCTGCCTCACCGCGCGTGCGTACGGCTTTCTGCATCCCTGGGTCCTGATGCAGCTAATGGGGCGTCTTGATCAGCTTTAAGTAGACCGCCAAAGGGACAATAAGAAAGCTGTTTTTGGGGTATAATTAGCCTTTGTATAGGGGAGCTGGTGCATTGAATTGTTTTAGAGTCTGCTGTTTGCGGGCTTGGGTCTCGCAGTTTGGGGTTTGCCCGGACATGTTTATCGCTAGGGTTCGCATGGCCGTGGAGCTTGGCTGGCTGTTTCCTATTAGTCTGGCCCTGGTGCATCCTCAACCAACAGCTGCCACCTTAAACTGCCTGAATTCGAAATCGTCGATTGTTAAGTCCCAAGCCCGGCCTTGCATTAGGATGCCCTCTCGTCACCCTTATCCAACAACCCTTCCTGGAATTAGGGGTCCTTTGCTTAGGGAACCTTATAATCCGCATAATTTACGGTCTAGGTTACGGAAAATCCTAGGCTAAAGCTCCGGAACACTTGACGACAGGGTCTTCTAGTTCTTTCTGCTGGACGTAAGCTAGTTACATGGTTTTTGTTCGTTTGTTTTGTGTGTTGTTCCCTGTGACCCTCAAGTCAGCTCAGGCTCTACAGGTTGCAGCAGTCTATCAGCTTGGGTCGTTTACTTCGATTCCTGGGCTGGCAAGGCAAGTCGGAGGACGGCACTGGGGGTGTGAGGCTTGGGAATTTGATGTCCGCGGCCGAAAAAGCATGAACCTCAACCGTAAACTTTGAATCGTAAAGCCTTAAAGAACCCGACATGCTCCTATCCATGAACTCTGGGTTTGCTTGCAAAGCAGCCTCATTTCTTGCAGTTCGCCATACTCAGTGTACCTCATCTATCCCAAACGGCATCCCTTCAATCCCCCCTAAACTCAACCACCGAAAGTGAGGGTCTTTGGGATTTAAGTTTGTGCGGTTGGATGGGCCAGCTGTGTAGAACTAGTTAACGCTTTGGGGATCTTGGGAATCTCGGGGCTAGGGCTTCAGTGCTTTTGGCGGCTTAAGCAAGTAGCTGAAATCTGTGCCGCCTGGGCAAGTCGAAGTATAGGGTACTGAATACCTACTAAACATGCCCCTTTATGGTCCGGATGACAGTTAAACTAAAGTATACCTCATGACCTATTTTCATTAGTAAGGTGCTTGCCGTAAGGATTATCGTTGGCTTGAAGAGAAACCCTAAACCCTAAAGACGCAAAATCCAGATCACTGGTCGGCACTGAATAGAGGGGGCCTGCAACTTGATTAGGGTTGAGGGTTTAGTATAGTTGGTTGACGGTTTAGGGTGAAGTTTGCGGGAAGTGTAAGTTCCTGTTTGTTGTGGTGGCAGGGTGTGATTTTTTTGTATGTAGGAAGAATGCATCCTAAGATTTCGGATATGGTTTCAAGTCTGCTGGGTGTGGCAGCTCATGCAGACCACCCGAAAGCTTTCAAATTGGAATTCCAAATTCGTGCAGGAGGAGATACCTTCCGAGGATTGTGGCCAGTGCACGTGCTATTCCATGGATCACCAGCTGAGCGACCTCTTCGATGGAGATGTCTACCTATACAGGACCATCCGACTGCCTATGCCTCAAGCCGCTAAACCCTAAACCCCCAAGCCTAAACGCTAAACCGGGTTAGGAATTTGGAATCTCTGAATCTTTATCTCCACAGGTTCAGGGCTCTAAGGTTTATATTTCTGTAATTAGTCTTTGTCAGCTGCGTTCCCTGGAGGCCTGACCGTAAACCAGCAGGTTCTTCACCAGAAAAGGCTGTCAAATCAGCAACACAAAACCCTTAACATCTATCTGCTATCTGCAGGCTTACTGCATAGACACCCAATTGCCTTGTTCAACCTTCAACCCTGGACCCCGAAGCCGTGTAAGCGTTAAGCCCCAAGCCTCGTAACGTTGCCCAAGCTTTCCTAAGCCTGGGTCGACAGAGGAGGACCTGACTGCAGCGTTCCGGTTTGATGGCCATAAGCCCGTAAACCCCTCAACCCTAAACCCCTAAACCCCTAAACCCTAAACCCCTATATCCCCAAACCCTCAACCCGAAACCCTAGACCCTAAACCCCTAAACCCTAAATTCTACACCCCTAAACCCTAAACCCCTAAACCCCTGAGCCCTGAACCGAAAGGCTTTGGGTCTCACAGACTCGGACCGTCGTAGACTCCCGACATGCCTTGAAACAAACGACGATGTGCGAAACCCTGGACCCCAAACCCTAAACCCAGAATCTTAAACAGAACGACGATGTCCCCGCCCTAAACCCTAAACCTAATTACAGCGGGGTCCTAACCCTAACGCTAAAGCCTTGGAGCCCCAAACCTAGCTGAAGGACGGTGGATGCCCGTCCTGACACTTCGATGGTGGAGGAGGGCGAGGCAGTTCAAGATCCTCCCCAGGAGGACCGCGGCTTTGGAGCGTGGTTTACAACGGCTTCTAGATTTTTTTCTGTGTTACCCCTAAACCCTCAGAGTTCAGGGCTTTACGGTTTAGGCTTTATTGGGCTTAAGCTTTTTCAATTTTTAACACTACCCTAAACCCTCAGAGTTTAGGGCTTTAGGTTTAGGCTTTATTGGGCTTAAGGTCTCCATGATAGGTCATTGTTGGGGTTAGCTTATAGCCTTGAATCCAAGAGAAGGAACTACATTGGGACCTAGGGCCTAGTTCTAGGGTTAGAGGTTTAGTTTTGGATTTTGGGATCTGGGTTTGGGATTACTAGGGTTTAGGATTTATATAGCACCTCGGGTGGGTCTACTAGTGTGCAGGGGCCAGGGCCCCGAGTTTGGGGTTTCTTGAGGGATGTGTGTGGCCATCAGTATTTTGGGGTTCGAAGCTTCAGAGCTAGGAACAGTCTTCTATAGATGTCCATCTAAACCCTAAACCGTAAACCCGAACAGCCGCACCGACACCCGGAAAAACACCAACAGAAAGGGCCCTGAAATACCCTGGTTCCCCTGACCTTCACTGGGTTTTCCGATAACACGCCACAAGAAAGCACTACGCTTGATGATGTAGATCCTGCCTGCATTACCCATAGTTTGGAATATACCCTATAATTCCTATGCTTTAGGGTCCTTAAAGGTAATGCAGGATTCATATCATCAACAGTATGGCTTTGAGGACCATCCCTCTGAATCGTTGGGTTCTCAAGGAGCCCAGAGCCAGGCACCGGGAGTTCGGCTGGGAGCGATTTCCGGCTGCTGGGGGCAGGTCTTACACCCAACTGGCCGAGGTGGACCGCCTTAAGCGTTTGACAATTTTAAAGGGTTTAGGGTTTCGGGTTAGGGTTTAGTAGGGTTTTAAAGGTTTAGGGGTTTAAAGGCTTAGAGGTTTAGGGTTTGGGGGTTTTACGGGTTTCGGGTTAGGCCCTTCAAAAATGCTAGAACCCCTGAAACCTATCAACCCCGTTCGAATTCTGAAGGTGCTTATGTAAAGCCCAAGTCCG